TTGCTTTCACAGCTGGTGTTTTTTTAGGACTTAACTTGAAGACATCAAAACATTCCTCTATATGTGGCCTGAATAACTCATTCTACTTGTGAGAGTATAAGAGTTAATTGTAATTTTTTTTTAATACCAGTAAAGTGCAACGGAGAACTGAGTATCGGTTTTTCAACCCACCATGATTTCACTCCAGCCAAGGGCATGCATCTCCCAAGTCTAAGTTTTGTTAGGAAAACAAGAATAGTTAATGGGTAGGTAACTAGTAGTATCTGTCATAGAGTGGGAATCAAGATTTTAAATATTTACAACAGAGTACTGGATATCCTGTATCACCTAGAACCTCATTTCAACAGGGCCACAACAATATGGAACTTGGTGGTGTTAGTAGGCAAAAACAGAAACCTAGCTACACGGTTCAAATAACTGAGAGTAAAGTCCCTGCCTGTGGATACTGTTTCAGCACTTTACTGATACCACTGAAAATCACTTGACTTTTCCTTCATTGTCTCAAGATGAACGGCAGAAGCTGGTTATCATGGCCACATACCACAGCACAGGAAGAAAGGAAGGAAAGAAAATACACTGACTTCTACTTTCATCACTTTTATCAGAAGTGTGTCCCATAGGCATTTCTACCATCAAGGGACAGCTTAAAATACCTGCTTGCATCTTAGCTTATCCAGCTTCCACAGTGAAGGCCACAGGAGAAAACGGTCTGCCACATTGGGTCACCACATTGGGTCACCGTGAGCTTCTCCACAGAAGACACCTGGGTGTGTTTATAGTGGGCATCTGGCATTCCTAGAGCAATTCAGGAGAATCCAGAATGGAAACTGCAGTCTTTATAATCTCATCTAGAAGCAGCATACCATTATCACGTTGCTGTTGGTCCCACAGACCAACCCTGGTGACATGGGAGGAGGGCATCCTAGGGGCCACCTTGGAAGCTGGCTGCTGCCTCTGGCAAAGATGCTTGCTAGATTCCAGGCTAAGGACGCATCACTAAGGACAGAATAACTAGCTTTTATATACATAGACACATAATTGTCTATGTATATTCAAATTTCTTGGGTTCATTTTGGTATACATTGATAAAAAAGAAAATCTTGAAGACAGTGTGAACACTAAACATAATCCAGTACTAAATAATTTCCTGTAACTGATTTATTTTGCTCCTTCTAAAATTAAATGTATACTACTTGGGATTTTCTATGAGGTTATCCAGATTGAGTGCTCAGTGGCACATTGACATTTAGGGAAGAGTGTGAAATTTCTGCTCAAATAGATTCTTAAAACAGATCCTAATTATCAACTGTCACCTAATATCTCTGCTTTTCCCTTATTTTGTACATTCCTCATCTATTTATGGTATTTGTGATGGAAGATGTCCCTTTTAGATTCTGTTCTGTACTCTTTTGATGGCTAAATTTCTGTAACTTCATGTTAACAGATAAAAATCTGGATAATGCCGCAGAAGCAGCTGAACAATTTAAATTGATCCAAGCAGCATATGATGTGTTGAGTGACCCTCAAGAAAGAGCATGGTGAGCTTCATACTTTCTCTTCTATTGTAGTGTACTTTGGGGAAAAAAATTGTTAATACAGGGCTTAAAAACTTAAATTGTTAAATGACTTTGGGTGTATTCTGAAGTCACCTGTTCATTATATGAAATTATCTGAATTGCAGTTTTGGGTAGGAAAGAAACTTAAGAGATGATTATATGATTTTATAGATGAAAAAGCAGAAAATTTAGCAACATTAGCCTTAGCTTTGACACTTACAAAGTGGGTTCTTATTAAATGTGGTCCATGTAGTAGATGATGAGTTTGCTGATATCAGAATAGAATATTGACTTGCCTTTAAAAAACAGATGAAGCATTAACTTTTCCAAATAACTACTTTCTATGAAGAGATTATGTACCTACATTAAGATATGTTTTCTAATGATGACCTGGTAATTTAATAGTATTTCCAAGCAAGATTTCTGTTTGAAGTTTTGAGTTTTCAGATTCTCAGTGAACTTTCTGCCACAAGGCAAGACGCTTTCAACCCAACATAACTTTGCAAAATCTTGTTCTTACAAAGAACAGGTGGGTGTTCAGTGCTGCTGGGAAATCTTTGGTGTGTTAAGCAGCATACAGAATGGCTGGCTATTGAGAGAAAGGCTACAAAGAAAAACCGAATAAAGTTATCTTTTTAAAGAAAGATTTATTTATAAATGCAACACAAGAACTGTGCTACAGACTAAAGGTGTGGGGGTGAGAGGATTCACCAGAAACAAGTGGGAAGCAGGCAGATCTATTGAAATAGCACTGCTGAGGGGTCAGAAGAGGTGTGCCACGCCACATGGTCAGCTCCCCTACTGGGGTCAGACTCATCTTGCAGTGACTGTGGATAACTTCACAGCCTGTGCTTCAACCCATTGTGCCACCAGGGAGGACCTATAAAGTTATCTTTTGTATGAAACTCAGAGAATCCTGAGTATTTCCCAACTCTAAGAATCCGGCAGTGTGGCCTTAAAAGTACTGTTGCCTTCTTTTAAGATATTTGGCATTCTCCTGATCTTGTTTTGCTGCAACCTCTTTTCCAGATCTTAGGTTCTCCCGTGTCCCAGCATTTCCCTTGTCTTGTTATTTCAAGCTCCTGCCTGTTCACTCTCCTGTTCTCCGGAGGCAGCCCTGTAAAGGCAGGCAGTGTGGTCTTGTCAGTGCAGGAGACTTGGTTTTAAATTTCAGTTTGCTGTTTACTGGCTTTATGATTGATATATTGCTGAGTTTCAATTCCATTTATATCAAGCAGGATAATGCCTAACTTCACAGTATGTGTGAAGCTTCTAGATTACTTTTACATAAACATAGGAAGAGTTATTCTGATACCTATTAAAAAATTTCCAGATTACAGAAGTAATAGTCTGTGAACCAGATTATGTTCAGTACTGCCCTCTTTTAATAACATTTCTTCTTTGTGAAAATGGAGCTGCCTTTCTGGGAGAGTCACAGAACATTCCCTGACTTTAAATTCTGTTTAAATAGGCTGCTACTGTACAGTGTGTTACAGAACTGTCTTGCTCTATGGTGTACCACTAGAAGTGAGGTCAAATTTTAATCAGTAGTTATTAAAATTTTTTGGCTGTGGATTGGACAGAGGAAAATGTACAATAATGGTAGTTTGGCTGCTCAGAGTAACGAGTCTTTTTGAATTCTTATTTATGTAGCCTTCACTGATGACACTCATTTTGTTTGTTTAGGTATGATAACCACAGAGAGGCTCTGCTTAAAGGTGGGCTGGATGGAGAGTATCAGGATGACAGCTTAGACTTGCTTCACTATTTCACTGTTACTTGTTACTCTGGTTATGGAGATGATGAAAAGGTAAGACATGAACTCACTCCTCATTTCTTGTCAAGTGCTTAATTAAGGCTCTTCAGTACAAAGAGAATTCTTAATATTATAGAAGGTAAAACAGTGCTTGTTTTGAAAACTGAAAAAGCATTGCTTTCATGTTAAACTGTCAGCATATAAAAAACACCAGTTGAAACTAAATGTGCCTGCATTGACAAGTCTTGAGTCTTACTTCTTTAGCTTTAAGGTTCCATGGAGTACATTTTAAAATCTTACTCTATGACTAGATACCAAATTACCAAATTCATGTTTCTCTTACTGTTTTTAGGGCTTTTATACAGTTTATCGTAATGTTTTTGAAATGATTGTGAAGGAGGAACTAGAGTCTATGTTGGAGGAGGACGCCGAGAGTTTCCCAGCGTTTGGAGACTCCCAGAGTGACTACGATACGGTAAAGGGATAAAGGAAGAGCTGTTGTCACTATTTGCCAGTGCATCTGTTCTGTTTCTTCATTTTAAAATTATGGGTTCTAGTTTGAGTCCTGTGACTCCCCTCTGTTGTGCTGAAAGAGCTGTCAGGGCCCTCTCAGCTCCCTCACTTTTCTTTGTTACTGATTGTGGTCCCACCCAGTTCATTTCCTCATTTAGTTTGTTAGCAAGGGTGGGTTGTTCTGGAAGCCTTAGCATGACACTGTCCCCCATTGATTAATACTAATGTTAAAAACATAAAAGAGATACTGCATCATTAAAATTTTTGCCTTTTTTTTTTTTAAAAAAAGAGTTAAATGAAAAACTGGCATCTTGACTATGTCTTTTGTCTATAGGTAGTTCATCCTTTCTATGCCTACTGGCAGAGTTTCTGCACTCAGAAGAACTTTGCTTGGAAAGAAGAATATGATACTCGACAGGCTTCAAACCGCTGGGAAAAACGAGCCATGGAAAAGGAAAACAAAAAGATTCGAGACAAAGCAAGAAAAGAGAAGAATGAACTTGTCCGCCAGCTGGTAGCTTTCATTCGTAAAAGAGACAAGAGAGTGCAGGCTCACCGAAAACTTGTGGAAGAACAGAACGCTGAGAAGGCGCGGAAAGCCGAAGAGATGAGGCGGCAGCAGAAGCTGAAGCAGGCAAAGTATGTGATGCGCGGCTGGATCCTTCTCTAAATGTAGTTGGAGGGAGGTGTCAGAAGAAACCTCAGTGGGTTCCTTTTTTTTAATCCTGGCTTTGGACAGTAATTTTATCTACTATGTGAGGATTTTTTTTTTAGTTGAATTTTTTTCATACATACTCAACTGAATTTAACAACAGCAAATGTTGAGTTCTTACATTGTAAGATCTCAATTTAGAGCAAGGCCCTGGTCTGAATGATTTTTTTATAACGGTTCTGTGAAGTAAGTTCGGTTTGTATCCTTGTTCTTAATGAGGAAAGGAGCAGGAGCTCACATAGCAGAGCTAGGAATTGGGCCCACGGCGCCAGTTCAGTGCCCTAGCCCACCGGGCATTGCTGCCGCTTAGCAGTGCACACACAGTTTGGTATTTAGATCTCCTGGTGCCTTTAAGCTTTTGCATTTTTGATAGAGAGCTCTGTATAACTTCTTAAAAAATTACTTCTTAAAACTTCTGCCTGCCCCGCCCCTGAGCTTTTGAAAATAGCACTTAACACTTAAAATTTAAAATCATTTGAAAACTTTTAGTAAGCGATTAAGAATTATACATTTCAACCCCATTATTATAAAATCAGCCAGATAAGAGATGTGACTCCTTCTATTTTAATTTGGCATAGGTTTTAAGTTTTGGGAGAAGATGCTTGCTGGGGGATGGATTTTAAGTCTGAAGAGTAAATAGTGTGGAGCCACAGCTCTGGGTGTACATGAGCCTGTGCTGTGTGTTTAGGCTGGCAGAGCAGTACAAAGAACAGAGCTGGATGACAGTGGCCGATTTGGAGAAGGAGCTCAGGGAGATGGAGGCACGGTATGAAAAGGAATTTGGAGATGGATCAGATGAAGAAGACATGGAGGAAGAACAAGAGCCCAAGGATGGACAGGATGGTAACTTCTCTATTCCATAGGAAACATTAGAAAACAATGTTTCTGTGCCCAGGAGTTGTGTACTTCAGGTGCTGAGAGATGCCAGTAAAGGGTCCAGAGGGAGTGGGGGATGAGGAAAACCTAGAAAACATCTGAGTTCCAACCCGTTACGTGTGTGTGTGTTTGAAGGAAATTTTTATCTTCCTGTTTTTTAGGTGGTTGAAATGAAAAACAGTATGGACCACACATACGTAGTCTATTAAAGTAGCCCAGTTCCAGTTATTTGGTTAATAGACTTTTTCTCACCATCTTTTAAAGAACTTGTGCTTCTAGCTGTGCAGTTATATTGACAAGTATAATATTGACTGGTTATTAAAAACATGAAACTAAGCTGTAGGTCATGTTGTAATAGAAACTTTTCAGTAAAGTTAATACTGGCAGTCTACATGACTATGTAAGTCCCCCCTCATTTCTGACTTTGTGCAGGGCTCTTGCCTGGTGGGCTAGGTTGCATTCTCCGCTGCTGTCCCTAGAGCATAGCATGTGACTACTGCAGAGCACTGAGAATGTCGATGCCTGATTTTCCCCACGGCCTCTAGCTGTTCTGTGAGAGATAAAGTTGAGGGATCTAAATGTTGTTTATCAGTTTTACTGATAAAATTGATAATGTGGTTTTTCAGACTAATGGCCTAAATGGTAATATGACATTATTTAAAAAGTATAGGAAATGAGCTTTATATAAATCAGAAGTAGTGTGTGTGATGTTGTGTTACAGTTATCGAGCACTCTATACATAAGGTGGCATTGATAACCATAGTTCAGAACTTTTAAAGTGCTTTTTCACATATAGGATCTCTCTTGATCTTTACACAGTACTCAAAAATAGGTCTTGCTTATAGTTCCCACCATTTTACTGATGAGAAAACCACTAGCTCAGAAGTTATGCCATTACACATTTTTAGATTCAATTTTTACTTCAAATCTAATATCCTTTATTAACTATTGCATTAAACAAAGTTTATTTTGTGTATGTGATATTGAAAGTGAAAACATACTTGGGAAATATCATATTCTAAACATTAACACTAGATGGGATGTGTTTTGAAGGTTTGTGATTGCAATGAGAATGTCCATCAGGATCATGTTAACATTACTTATGAAGAGCGAAGTAATACTTTCATGTTTACTTTTATAGATAGAAAATGAAATGCTCAAAAACTTCCCATGGAACTTTTTATTTAAGAATATGTGGACTATACTGCCAGTAATTATTTTGTCATAATGAGGCTTCAGGTTTATGAAAAATGAGCTGATAAAGTGTTAGACTTTATGTGAAGCTTGCATTCTTGTGACCCATCTTGTAACAGTGGTGGAATGTGGTTATGTGGTTAGCTAAGTTAACTGACTATTTTAGAATAGGTCACAGTTGTGTATTTGAACCAAATCTTGCTTAGGGGATAGACTAAAAAGCCCCTGTTGAAAATAACCGCTTCATGGTAGAGTTATGATGGTGGTGGTTCAATTTTTTGTACTTAATTCACAGCCAAGACTGTGAGAATTTCAGGGGTCTTCTAAGAAGACTCATGAAAATAACTTAAAATATAAAGTGACTTATTTAGAAGTATTCCTTCATAATTCAGTGCTGCTTTTTAAAGAACAGCTCAAATTCTGGTAACATTTTTTTGGTAAGGACATAAAGAATTTTTAGTTTATAATGAAGAGAGGTGATTTGTTAACAGGTTTCTGTTTTGTGTACAGTGGAGTTCTGACTAGAGGCTTCCTTTTCATAGGTAAAGACAGTGATGAGGCCGAGGATGCTGAACTTTATGACGACCTTTATTGCCCAGCATGTGACAAATCTTTCAAGACTGAAAAGGCGTAAGTGCCGTATCTTTGAATTCACAGTGCAACACTGTAAGTCCCAAGAGATGATCACTGGCCCTCACATTACATCTTAGGGAATTTTTCTCCAACAGGGAAAAAGAGGGAGTTTGCCATCATTTAGGCCTGTTGTACTCTTTTTCACTCATACCAATAATGCTGTGTACTAGCTGATTTTTAAACATGTCTTGTATACTTGTTGCTTGCTTGGACAGGGAAGGAATCGTCACACAGGGAGGTTAGACCAGAACTCGTCATGTCTTCTGTTGGCAGCAGATTTATCTCCAGCCTTCACACTCCTGTACAAGCCACTGCTACAAGATTAGGAACATTAACCCTGTCCTATCTACAGTATATTTGCTGACTTGGAAGGATTTTATTATATGGGAACAGCAATGCAGAAGTAATATTGAAAATAATACCGTTTAAAGAGTGGGAGAGGAGATGGGTTCTCTCTGAAGGAGAATTTTAGTGGGAAGAAGAATAGCAGCCCAAACTAGAAAAGCAAATCTGAACAGAAGAGATAGTTGATGGTGACATATTTCCTACTTTCTAGTCTAACTTTACAGCTTAAGTGTTGTTACATCCCTTTGTGAATTGTCAGGTAGTCCATAGATAACTGAAATAGACGTTGCTCATAGAATTTTAGACAGAAAAATAGAGAGGTGTCTGAACTTGTCTTGAGGATGGTAAGGAGAAAAGGAACCCCCTCATGAGAACATGAAAGAAGCTGTTGAAAAAAAGCAAAAGAAGGTAATCTGCTCCTGAAGTTCAGGCCCTCATTACCATTTCTCATTCCTGGGTGATCTTCCTTTTAAGGTTAGAAAGTTATCCTGGTCCCTCTGAGCCCACTGCACAGCCTAAAACATGAGCACTTGGTACATGCTCGGTGACTAGGTGGAAACAGTAGAGAAGACTTACCTATTTAAGATTTATTTATGCATACAGTACTGGGGTACAGGCCAGAGGCACAGGGGTGGTGAGTGGCTTCACCGAAGACAGAATGGGGAGCAGAACAGGCAGATCAACAAAGTATACTGCTGAGGGGAGCAGCGAGTGAGACAGGAGAGATCTGCCGCACCATGTGGGTCACTGCCTTGGCCAGGAATTGAACTCAAACTGGAGCAGCTGTGACTGGCTTTACCTATTAATCTGTTTTACTATTTTCACAGTGCTATGCTCTTGCCCTACCAGGGAGGGCCTGGAGAAGACTTAGATTTTAAGAATTACTAAATTTCAGAAAAAGAAGAACATCTGGAGGAGCATGCTGGGATATAGTGAAAAAGCACATAGGCACGGGCTTCCTTTGTACTTACAATGCTTAAGAAATTCTGATGGGATACTGTTTCTTTTAATAGCATCACTGACATTTTGCTATTAGTTAATGGAAACAAGAGTAAATTTTAACTTGGCTGCACTAATTTAGGAACTTACTTGGGCACATATGAATTAACTTTGTGGGAGTTACTCACATAAGATTTTTCTTTCAGCATGAGAAATCATGAGAAATCAAAGAAGCATCGGGAAATGGTTGCCTTATTAAAACAACAGTTGGAGGAGGAGGAAGAACACTTTTCAGGACACCAAGCTGATGAAAATTCATTGAATGTCGAGTCTGAAGATGAAATCGAGGATGCACCAAAACAAAAGTATTTTTAAAATAAGTTACTAGACATATTTGTCACATATTTACATGCTGTTTTATATCAAAAAAAGTTATTCTACATTTTGCCAACTAAGGAAGTTTACACTTGCAGTGGTTAAAGACATGATGCTAACTGTAATTTTTGCAGGTTATCTATTATATAACGAGTGTATTTATAAGCACCTTTTTACCGAGGCAGTTGATAGGTTAATTACTGTCATTGACCACTGTTAACAACTTGTTGACATGGTAATGTGACTTTTCTTTTAATGCTTTATGATATTAAATATTTTTAACATTTTACTTCCCTTTATGTCACTGTAGTCAGTATTTTTTCTTTTTACAAATTCGAGTATTGATAATTTTGATTTTTTAAAAAAATTTTATTCCTAGGCTTTCTAAGAAACAGAAGAAAAGGAAACAGAAACCAGCACAGGTATGTCAAAAAGTTTTAATAACATTAAATATCAAATGTAACATTGTTCATTCAGTATAATATATTAAAGAGAGGTGCTATCCCTGTAATTTTATGTTGATTGTAAAACAGATTAACAGAGGAGTTGAAAATACTTTTTTTTAGTATTTCTTCCCCCCTTGTAAAAAACTTTATCCTAGAAGAACTTGAACAGCACTTCACCTGTTTTGCATCTTTAATGGTTCCACAAGAATCATCAGTACGTGTTAGATCCATTGGGTGAAAGTTAATGGGGAACAAGATTTAATTGATCTCAAAGTAACACTGCAAATTATTAATTACAAAAGGGAAAAGGTACTTTACTGTAGGGGAACCTGGCATCTCCACCTTCACTAAACGACCAGACTTAAATCACCGAAAAATAGGGCAAACTGGCATTTTGCCTCCTGATTTATTGTGAAGGGCACAGCATTATCTTTGTATTATTCCTGCTAGGGATGATAAGCCTAAGTTTTATATTGAGGAAACAATCAAAAGTCCAACTCTCGGACATCTAACAAAACAGTCAAAAACCATTATTGTGAAAAACAAAAATGTGGGATTTACTGGAATAAGATCAAGAGTTCTAGAATACAGATAAAAGAGACAGGACACCCAAATGCAACAGGTGACCCTTGATCACATATGCAGAGGTCACTGAAGAAAAGGGTTGTTGGAATGTGGATGTGGGTAAAATCCGTGAATGAGTGTAAGGTGCGTTTGAGCATATGGAGGGGCCTTTGGAAAGGCTTGGCGTCATGCTGTCTGCCGCACCTTACTTAGTTTCTAGCTCAAGGCTGGATAGTTGTGTGTGGAGAATGAGTGAGATGAAGGGAGGAAGGGAGAGAGAAGGAAAATATGGCAAAATGCTACCCAAAAACAACTTAAAAGTAGTTGTACTTGGTAAAGGTATATCTGCCAGGCAACTTTCTTTTACAGTGCTGGTTTGTCGTATCTCCCCCCCCCCCCACTATAAAGTAATGGTTGCGGTTGCTCATTACAGATCATTTGGAAAATACAGAAATTATCATAATGATCATAATTATCATTCCCAATTCTGCCTGTAGATATTACTAAACAGTGAATTGAATTCTAATCGATTAACATCTGTGTGATTCTTCTTGTGTTTTAGCTATATGTCATAGATTTATTTCTACATTTATTACTATTTTAAAGATTTATTTATTTTTGCATACAGAACTGGGTACAGGCCAGAGGTGCAAGGGTGGTGAGAGGATTCACCAGAGACAGGGTGGGGAGCAGAGCAGGCCGATTGATGAAGTACAGTGCTGAGGGGAGCAGCGGGCGGGTCAGGAGAGGTCTGCCGCATCATGTGGGTCACCTCCAGGGCAGGCAGGGATCATACTCATGCTGAAGCGGCTTTAGCTTCTTAGTGCTGTGCTTTAACCCGCTGCACCACCTGAGAGGTCCTATTTCCACATTATTGAAGCTGTGTTCAAAAGGATGGTTTTTAGAGTTTCATAATTTTCCATCATGTTTTCATTCAACCATTCACCTTTAGACAATTGGGTGATTTGCAGGTTTTAATTGGAATCAATGTTTAAATAATATTTCTGTAAGAATATATCCTTGTATTATCTGCCTTCCCTTTTTATTTCTTGATGCTTTACTACCAGTGCTTACTGGACATTACTGTTTATTATAACTATTGGGTACCATAGCAGAAGGATCAGTTCTGTAGTATTTATTTTGAAATGGCATGCAATATTTTATTACCTAGAATTATGATGATAATTGCAATGAAAATGGAACTGGAGAAGGAGTAAAGGTGGATACAGAAGACACCAACTTCAACCAAGATAATGCCAAAGAATTGGAAGTTACTTCCCAAGAAAATGCCAGTGTCACAAACACTCTTGAACTTTGTGATGATCCAAAACGTGAAGCTAAAAGGTGAGCCAGGGCTGCATGTTGTGTCTAAGTACTTGATACTGCTAGGAAGGACATTTTTTCATATCGAGGCAGTCTTTTGAGTGATGTCAGGTGTATCTAACCTACACATAGACCCAGACGTCATGTTGTATATACAGATGACGCATGTTGCGATGAGAATGCTCGAGCATGACCAGCATCGGAGGGTTCAGATTGATCCAGTTCCTGTTTACCTTATCCTACTAAGGGTCTTCCCTGGTCCTGGATCACTAGCCCTTGACACTTGAGGAGCACTAGGTCATGGGTCGCGCAGTGACCATTACCCCAATCTTGGTGCTCTTGCTTATCTACCTGTGCTCACCCCAGTGCGTGACATCAGGATAGATGTCTGCCGCTTGGGGCTTTCCTACTTGGAGGAGCCCAGAACCGGTGCTGTGCCGGCTGTGGTGGATGGCCAGGCGTATCCAGTCAGGGGAGGTAGCCTTACTTGTCTCCCTCCTTGTTTGATGGTCTTGTCCTCATTCTCCTTTGTTCACCTGGAACACAGAACCATTTCTTGAACAATGACCCGAACTATCAGTAGCCATAGTTCCCTCTCATTAAAGGCCCGTGATGAAAAAGGGTTTTGGTGACAAGTCCGGTGGGCGCCTGACTTGAGAAAGCTCAACAGTGGAGCAGCAGTGAAGGTGGGAGCGATCTCTGGGCTTGGGGAGTTGAAGTGTTAGTCAGTGGGGAAGCACATCATCCATGCCTGGAGTAGGGCTGTGCTGTAGAGAAAGATGTGAGTCTCCATAAGCGGGCCTTGTGGGAGCCTGGAGCAGATGTTACACATGGTGTGATGCTAGGTGTTATTCCCAATTTGTGAATGAAGAAACTGAGTTTTGAGACTGGCCCGGGTTCAAAGCTGTGTTTGGGGGGAACTACACTGTTGGATTAATTGTGATGCTTTGATTCAATAAGTGGATTATTAAGCACTTTTTTTACATCACTAAAAATTAAGAGAATTTTGGGGGTCTTGTTTTTAGCTTGTGTTCCAATTATTTTAAGTTAATAATTTTTGTGCCACATTTATAGCTCTTCATTTAAGATCTGAAAATTACTAACTTGGACATTAAAATTAATGAGTTAGCTTTTAAAATGCCTGTCATTCTTTGGAGTTCTCTTGGGAACGAGATGACAGCTAGGAGTGGTATGTTACTGGATTGTGCTGAATTCTTGCATTTATTTTTTCAGCGTTCCTAAACCCAAAGGAAAGAAAGCCAAAGAGATGAAAAAGTCTGTCCGAGTTCCTGCGGAGCCACAAACAACGGTAGGTCAGAAGCACATTGGCACCACTTCGTGGGTGTCGCCGCTCGTCCTTGGGACCTGTGCAAAGGCGGGAACTGTCCATGGTTTTGCTTTAACAAAGCTAGAAGTTATGTCTATGCTACTGTCATTTTTTCTTGTAAAGTAAAAGAAGCCCATTTGAAATACCAGGCTATATCAGAACAGTTACTGATTTATGTTACTTTGAAATCTAAAAAGTGGTCTAGTTGATGTGTACATGGCACTGACTGCCTCAGGATTCTTAAAGTTGATGGCTGGGTAACGGGCTTGGCTGCCAAGGACCGTGGCCTCGGTTGAGCCTGTCTTGGTCGGTGTCTGTCTTCTTAAAACCTTCTTTTGTCTGTTCACTTGACTTTTAATCCCTATAGGAAAACCTGAAACATTCCTCTCAGTTGTAACACTTGCCTTTCCTTCTTTTCCCCCTTGCCCCCCCTTCAGGGTGATATTCTTATCAGCTGTACAACCTGCCATAGTGAATTTCCATCCCGGAATAAACTTTTTGATCATCTAAAGGCCACAGGTCACGCAAGAGCACCGTCGTCATCATCCTTAAACAGTGTGGCAAGTAGTCGGAGCAAGAAAGAGAAACGTAAAAACAGATAGAAATTTTGCCAACGCTTTTGCTTTTTCATTGTCCCTAGATTTTGAAACCAAAAACTGAACTGAAACCACCTAAAGAGTTAAAATTTCAGTGATCTGCAATTGATTGCATTGTGGAAGATTATTTTTTATCTTGTAAAAAACATTTTTTTGTTTAATATATATTTTTAAACATTTCATTAGTGATTGAATTCTACTTTTGCCATCTGAGTTGACTTGAATGTCTCAAAACAGGTAAATATTGTAAAGTGTACATTTTGATTTCTGTTGGCTCATGTGGACAGAAATGTACAGGGAAAATTAAATTATTTTAACACTTACAGATGCCCCTTTCTATTTTGTGAGTTTCACATTAACTATTTTTATATGATTCAGTGCCTTTGTATTTTATGATGCTTCATGTCTGTCAGAGACACATCATTTTAAAATTACCATCAGTTTTTTTCCACATAAAATCATGACTCCAGGTCAGGTTTTAAATTATTTCTCGATGACCTTTGTTGAGTGCTGTATTTTTTCCCCCTCTAGGCCAGTGAACTTATGGTTATTCTTCAAGAATAAGATCTCTTTGGGGTATAACTGTTGATTTAATTTGAGATTTTATTGTTAGTGATCAACAGGATCAGTCTTTCAGTTTCCCCCCTCTGATTTGAATTGTGGAGGTGGAAGCAAATTAATTTACAGCATTTCCTGCTCAGCACGGTGGCAGCTGTAAGGCATGATGGCTCACGGTAGCAGATGGTGCGGAGACTTCACAAACGATGTGTTGTGCCTTGGAAGTTCCCCTCCCCTGCTATTTCAGAAGTTTTCTACTTTGTTTCTTTCCATCCAATGTAGAAAAGCTTTTAAAGGAACATTTTTAAAAAGGATTGATGCTTCTGCATCTGTTCTGTGGCACAGATAGGTGTCAAGTGAAAGTAGGGGGAATCATGTAAGGAATATATCCAGTGGTGCGGCTCACAGAGGGGTGAGTCATTTTTCAGGTGGATTAAGTAAGGAGTTCTGGTGGGTCCCGTAAGAAACTTTGAACTCACTAGCTTGAACTCGGGTGCTTTCTGTTCAGCCAAGTTACTCCCCTTCCCTCCTCCGCAAGCTCTGGCGGGAGTCTGAGCCGTCAGGTGTCCTGAGGGCACCCGCCCAGCAGCGATGGTGTGGCATGGTCCCTGTGACCGGCTTCAAACTTCATATTTGAACCTTAAAAGTTTTTTTCTTCTTTTAGAGATAGAGAGTAAATGTGAACGGTGTTTCTTTCACCTTTCCTTTCTGTTTATAACTCCTACCAGTATTCCCCCTTAGTATTTCCTCCCTTTCTTGATCCCATCAGGGAAAATACTAGTCAGTTTTGTATCTTCTGATCTCTTCCTCCCAGTCTTCATCGGAGCCCTTTACCTTCCTTCAGTTTGAACTAGATGAAATGACTGTTTGTAATTGGAAGTAGAAAGTTTAATGACAAGAGGCCACAGTCACGTGTTAATAGTACACAGTAAAGAGCATGACATCATCTCTACAGGCAGGTCGTGGCCTGCAGGTGCTGTTCAGACCTTTGCCTTGTTTTGTACTGACCATGCACGAATTTAATTGGCTTCTGCTTCATGTGGGGATTGATTGGGGTTAATTGTCATTTTTATTCTGACTGACAAAAATCACCCATAATTTTCAAGGGATCTTCATCAGCTGTGATTGGAAATCACACCTCATTTCTAATCCTGTGTGTAGATGAATATTGATGAATCGTCTCCCTTCCTGCCTTTCATTTTTCTTAGCTCTAACACAATTTTTAACATAATAATATACAGGATTGTACAAGATTACTATGAAGGTCAAATAATAGTTATATAGTTATATGAAAGTGGCTTTTAAATACTAGAACCATACAGAATGCTAAATTTAAATGAGCAGGCTTTCAGTTAAGACGTTTGTAGTTGAGAGAGTGTTACTTCAACCTGTTTTGATTGAAATTAGCTCAGATATGAAAAATGCACAGGACGAGGGCTCTGGGAGAAGAGGGTTAGGAGAAATTGTTTTTATAATTCATTCCGTGATGCCCAAACTGGAATTGTCTATAAAAGCCTACGGAGACTTTTCCTCTTTCAAAATGGAGCATTGTATCTTTAGCAAAGCACAGAATTGGAAAATAAAAATCCATTAAAATGAAAACATCTGTGAACAATAGGTACCATAAGAAAAATACCTCAGGCCAGGAGAGGATGTTTACAGCACATATAACTGACAAGGAATTAGTGCCCACAATACATGAAAAGACGAAAGACCCATCTACAAGTCAACAAGAAGTGAGCTGTGCAGCTGTACTGCAGTTCTCCAACTTTCTGATTCGAGTCTCTTCAAAACTGAGAACCCAGAAGAGTTTTTGTGTACGTAGGTTATATCTATTGAAATGTCTTTTTTTAGAAATTAAAATTGATGTAATTTACAAAGTATTAACTTACTAAAAATGTTAAATAACAAAGATGGAAAATAGCTTGTTTTCAAACCAAAAGTTTAATGAGAAGAGACATTGTCTTCCATTTTCACAAATCTATAATGTTTTGCTTTATAGAAAAGCTAGATTCTCATACCTGCCTCTTAATCAGTTTGTTGCTCTATGTCTTGGTTAAATGAACAAAACAGCTTTTACATGGATAGGTAATTGAAAAGCCAAGGTCTTGTGTTCCCCTACTTGGTCTCTCCCCCCCCCCCCACTTAGAACTGTTGCATTAAAAAATGGGTAAAATACATGAACACAAAAAGCTTGAATAGTCAATGTGGAAAGATTATCATTGCCACTGATAATCAGGGAAATATGACTTGTTTCATGCTGTCAGACTGGCACCGGGTGGAGTTGTACAAGTTATAACGCTGGTGAGGATGGAGCAGTGGGAGCTCAAGCATCTCTCTGGGAGTAATTGGCTCAACTGCTGATGTTTTAGGAAAGTTGAACATATGTGTGCCCTGTGACCCACCCTGGTTCCAGAGAGACACGCCGAGAGTCTCCAGAGCAGCAGCCTGGGCCCCACAGGTCCACCCCACCCTACTCAGAATCTGCAGTCGACAAGCACTTGGAGGTGATGCATAGACGCCTTCAAGGGGTCCTTGAGGGGTGGCACTCTGGGACCCATGTACAGCTGCACAGGGAGACATACCAGGGCGTGTGACTGAATTGTTTGTGTCCAGGAACATCTGTAGGCCCCAGATGTCCATGAACATGAAAATGAATAAGTACATTTCAGCCTGTTTGAAGTTGGCAATTAAGCTGATAAATGAGCATCTAGGATCAGTGGGGAATAGTCCATGGGAAAACACTGAATGAAAATAAGCTGTTAGAAATGGGATGTATGTCATTTATACAGTTCTAAGAAATACCACATTGATGTTTTGTATCAATGTCAATTACAAAGACGTCACCAGAAAGATAATAGCCTCTAGAAACGGAGAGGGGTTGAATTGGAGCATGTGGCAGCGAAAGGAACCTCATCTGAGTCCATATTTGAAAGACCTGAAGGAAAATAATAGCACTTTCAAATTCTTAATGGTGGGCTCAGGGGTTTTACTCTGGTTTTCATGAAATAATCAAAACCCAAAGCAAAACTAAGCCCCCCCTCAAAATAACAAAAATATGTCCAGGTGAAGAGATTTTAAGTTTTTATTCCTGGCGTGTTCCTAAGCACACTGGCAGAGGCTATTACTTGGCTCTCGATATTCATTCTCCCTTCTTAGAGCTCTGATTTCTAGCTGTGTCCAAACCCCCTAGAATCTAAAGATGATCTCAGCCTCTTGTCCTGATAATCATCTGGCCAGTGATCTGAGCCACTTTCGAGACATTCCCTTAAGGACATGCACAGGTGACTGGCCTTGGTTGAGGCACATTGCAACTTGTGTGCTGTCAACTGGAAAAGGACAGGAGTGCAAGAACATGCATGGGCTCTTAGACAGACCCCAGGTTACATTCCAGGGCCAACGTCACTGTGACCTTGGGCAGTAAGTTTAAACTTTAGGAGCCTTTTTTAAATCTGTAATGTGGGCATGAGACCAACCTTGCAGATTTGATAAAAATTAAAGCTTTTCAGTGTGAGTACCATGCTCACCACAGAGGCATTTGTCAACTGTTAGCTTGGCCTTATTTCCTATAATCTGCTTATAATTTTCTTGCTTAATGGCTTCTTTCAGTTTCTGAAATTAAACAACGAAGTGCTAATTTGGAGAGAAATCTGATGATGTTGACCCTATAGCACATATATTTTAGAAGATACTACTATATATACTGAAATGCCGGATGGAAGTGTTAACACAACTGAATATATGGCATTTCGATGTGGTTTGCGTGATGCGATGGCAACTGTCTTGATCATCGGTGGCCCTGCGTTATGCCAGGAAGCCTTGGTGTTTTCTGGATAATTTGCCATTATAACCAGCCAGGGTCCCCAGTATCACTGATATCCTTTCAAATGCCACATGCCTCCTGAAAATGGAGAAGGTTCAGATTATCCTTTGCTCTGTAATTCATGTGAATGTCAATTAGAAGAAAAAAAAAATTAACAATTTTTAAATATGAAAAGATCCTATCAGATTTCTGATAAAATGGCAAGTAGTGTATCTTCCAGGGATGTCCTGTTTGCAAGTACAATAAACTCACACTGTGTTTCTAAAGGTATTTTTCAGCAGTATCTGGAGCAGATTTTCAACAGTCCCATCTAACAATGGAATCGTGCACTGGGGGTGCATTGAGTGCCTCGTCCCTGTGTGTGCACAGTCAGATCCTGTCAGAAACGCTGAGACCTTGAGTAACCGCAGGATCCTGGACTCAGTTTTGCTTGCTGCTCCAGAGAAGCCTGACAGTTTGGTGAGGGGCCTTCTTCAAGCCACTCATCCTCCCCACTGTCCAGGCCACTGGGCTCACTTGGACACCCTGTTTTACAGACAACCTGGCTTCTAGGACACATCTGTTTGCACTGATTTTTTCTTAATTCCCACAGTGATACTTTTCTGTAAATCTGTTAACGGACTAGATGGGAAGTACTTTTTTTTAAGATTTATTTATGCATTCAGAACTTTGGGTACAGGCCAGAGGTGCAGGGGTGGTGAGAGGATTCACCAGAGATAGTGGGGAGCAGAACAGGCAGATGAACTAAGTACACTGCTGAGGGGTGCAGTGAGTGAGACAGGAGAGGTCTGCTGTGCCATGTGGGTCACCTCTGGGGCTAGGGATGGAACTCCCACTGAAGTGGCTGCAGCCCGCTTGCAGTGCTGCATCTTAACCTGTTGTGCCACCAGGGAGTGCCGGTAAGTACTGTGTGTTTTCAAAGGCATGGTCTTGTGTTGCTGGCA